GGGAAATGTGGGAGTGGGGAAATGTGGGAGTGGGGAAATGTGGGAGTGGGGACAGTGGGAGTGGGGACAGCGGAGTGGGGACAGCGGAGTGGGGACAGGGTGAGTGGGGAAATGTGGGAGTGGGGACAGGGGGAGTGGGGACAGGGGGAGTGGGGACACGTGGGAGTGGGGATATTTTGGACTGGGGACAGTTGGGATTGGGAATACTTGGCATTGGGGACATTCAGGAATGGGTATAATTGGGACTGGGGACAGTCAGGATTGGGGACAGCCAGGATTTGGTAAAATCAGGATTGGGAATAGTTTGGATTGGGGACAGTTGGGAATGGGAATAATTGGAATTGGAGACGCTCAGGAATGGGAATAGTTGGGATTGGGGACAGTTGGGAACGGGGACAGTGGGGATTTGGAACAATCAGGATTGGGAATAGTTGGGACTGGCAACACTCAGGATTGGGAATAGTTGGGACTGGCGACACTCAGGATTGGGAATAACTGGGATTGGGGACAGTGGGAGCAGGGACAGTTGGGACTGGGGATGTCGGAATGGGGACAGCCAGGAATGGGAACAGTCGGGATTGGGGACACCCGGGGCAGGGAACACTCCCACCAGGAGGAGCGATTGCATCCACACCATTCCCAGAGCTCCCGGCTCCAAGCCAGACTCCAGGAGATATTTTTAACGCGGGAACAGCTGCGATAACCAGGATATTTCCCTGATTCCCGTGCAGGTGTTTTCCCTGGCCGGTTCCACCTTCAGCCTCCCTTCCTCGCACATTTTCGGGAGCCCGCTGACATCCGGGCTGTCCCTGAACCCCCTCCTGAGCCAGCCGGAGAGCAGCCGGGCAGGTACGTGAATTCCCAGGTATGTCCGAGTTGGCATTCCCGAGGGATCTCCTGCCAGGACGGGAGGGCACCGCTGCATTCCCGGCTTTTCCAGCTGCTCCGCCTCGGGGTGACAGCCGGGGGGACAGCAACGGCGTGTCTGCCAGCGGCACCTCGGGAGAGGCCCTGGAGGATGGGTGGCCCTGGAGAATGAATGTCCATGGATAATGAGTGTCCCTGGAGAATGGACATCCCTGGAGAATGGATGTCCATGGATAATGAGTGTCCCTGGAGAATGGATATCCCTGGAGAAGGGGTGGCCCTAGAGAATGAATGTCCATGGATAATGAGTGTCCCTGGAAAATTGATATCCTGGGAGAATGGGTGGCCCTGGAGAATGGGTGGCCCTGGAGAATGAATGTCCATGGATAATGAGTGTCCCTGGAGAATGGATATCCCTGGAGAATGGATATCCCTGGAGAAGGGGTGGCCCTGGAGAATGGATGTCCATGGATAATGAGTGTCCCTGGAAAATGGATATC